GCAGGCTCTCCACAGGGCCTAATTTTTTGCCTTTGACCTTGCAAACTATTCAAACCTACCGGGGCTCTGGATAAACTCCACCCTTGGCGCTTTCACCTCCTGGCAGCTTACTCTGCTGTCTCAACATCCCCTTAGTGCCCCTGTGCTGTTAGAAAGCTTTGTGTAAGTCATGCGTGACCTATGAAATATGTTTCCCCAAACTTAACTGAGAAATCAGTTACAGGTTTATCTCCCAATTCTGCCACTCAGAGGAGGGCAAAGGTGACAAAACAGAGTCCACAAAGCGTTGAATTCAGAAAGGACACTTAATTTAGTTATTCTGAAAAATTGCAAACCTTACTATGTCACTTTAGACATTTCTAAATACAGATCCCTGTGTCTCCTGTCGGGTCTCCGCATGCCTCCAGTGGTAGCACTGTGACTAAGAAAAGCGACGGGCATTGGCCTTCTAGGCCTTTAAGGATGCACGACCTACTCCACCTGGCAATGGCTTTGCTGTGGAGCACAGGGCTCTCTGTGAGACCCGCTGCCGACACAGCCCCTGGAAGCTCTGGAGACATGAGGTGCGTTACCGGCAGTCACACCACCTCCTATGTTCCTGTGAGCGTTTGTAGGAGGCAGAGCCAGACCGACTTCACCTCAGAGGAAGTCTAGGCACAAACGCAAATCAGAAGTTGTGGACTATTTTAAAACTCAAGCTGCAGAGTTGGGGAGTTATGGATTACATCCCGATCCATTAATTCCTTCATTCCCAGGCTCTGCGCTGGCTGAAGGCCATGGCCCTCTGGCGGGAGGCAGAGCACTTGGGGCAGAAGGCACAGGAAAGGGAGAAGAGGCTGGCACTGTGGGGGCAAACGGCTGCTTCGGATACTCATTGTATAGGAACCTGGAACTCAGTAACCTCGTGCCCCCCGTGAGGGACAGATCTGCTCCCAATTTCATTTGGGAGCTCTATTACTTCGAGCAATATTCTGTTTGGCCAGACATGCCATTCTTCTCTTGAAGGAAATTAATTTCTTGATTCTTCCAGCTAATATAACCCCAGTTCAGTGCTTATAGTTTTCTCGGGGTACTCCTAGGTGAAAGAAAGTCTAAGAAACCTCTCGTGAGAACTCCACGGCACAGACGGCAACCTCAGGGGAAGCTCGTGGAGGAGGGTGAGGGGGGTCATTCTGACCTTCCCCTCACGGGCCACATCTGTGATTTGTTAACGTTCTATGTTCTTCCCTCTTTCCAGAGTAAGGCTGTTTTATGATGTCCACAGGAAATGGATTTCTAAGCATATAAGGCCCCTGAATAGGATAAATAAAAGATTAGAAGAAAAAGAAACACAGTGATTCCTGGTTGTTTAAAAGGCAACTCAACAAGCTTTTACCAGCAAAAGGGAAAGGTCGGGATCAATAGAAGGGCCTTTTCTCTGGAAGGAGGTCTGTTCTCACTGTAACACAAATGAACTCCCTGGTAGGGATTCTGAAAACCAAGGAAACATCACGCTGTAGAACAGATCTGGCCTGGCCGGGAAAACACTTCTCCATTTTAAATTCCCCCACAGCATCAAAACAAAACAGGCCTCTCCCAGGCTGCCGGTCCGCAGCCCTGACTGGTACGGAAAAGCTGGCTGTCCTAAAAAACAGAACAAGTCCTGGCATAAAAGATGTTACTACTGAAAGGCGCAATTTTATTCTAAAAGGGACTTTTTTGAGGGTGATGTTAACAGGGTATTCCTATGTAAAGGAATCTGGTTGGCAAAATACTACAGGATACTGAGCATCTTTGATGACAAAACACCTACCCCTGAAGGAATCTTGGTCAAACTCACCACATTCCTTTGTTCTATCAAGCCCCATTTCCCCTGTAAAGTACCGTCTCTACTGCTGGGAGATACAGAATGAATGGCATTTTTCTCTGACAGATCTGAATGCTTGCTCCAGTGGTGCAGTTGTTCTGAACATATGTTTCTTCTACACACACACACACACACACACACCATACCAGACATATACACACAACACACAGGACACACATACACTGACACCTCAAACATGTAGAGCATACACACATATACACCCCACACCCCACATACACACATACCTCATACATGTACTGCACACTCGCCACACCTTACCATATTACTCCATACCACACCACACACACACACACACACACACACACACACACTATGCACTTACCTTACATACCACACCACACACTACACACACCATACCAGACATACACACACACACACAACACGCAGGGCACACATACACTGACACCTCAAACATGTAGAACATACACATACATATACCCCACATACACACCTCATACATGTACAGTGCACACACCACACACCTTACCATATACCATACCATACCACACACACACCACACACATACACACACAATTTTAATTGATAAATTCATAAATATGACAGTCACCTATTGATGCAACCTTAGATATGCCCATTTCCTAGGTCTTACTAGCTATAGCTTCCCCTTTCCCTTCCTCTCAAGAAAGCATATCAGATTATAGGATTACAAGAAAGTAACAATCTTAACCTTAAATCTTCTCTCATTTATAAGAAAAAGAGGAAGTCTGCATCCTTGAACAGTTTAAATGTTATTAGAGAAAAACTACTGGGATGTACCTTAAAAACCATCACTACCCTCCTGTATCAACTTAGTCTCCTGCCTGGAGTGACTGCCCATCCAATTCCCCCTCCATACTTCGTCAACTACATCAATCCCCCCAGTACCTCCAGTCCCTCTACTCTATAGATGAAAACCCTACAGCGCCCTCTGTGGACTCCACCAGAGCTCACAAAGCCAAGTTTCCTAAGAGCCAGGGGTGAGGGGTGTTTCAGACAATGCATTCACTGCTGAGCAGTGGGGCCATGGCAACTGGAGAACACATGCCCATCGGAGGGGGTGTTCCACAGCTGCCATGTGGGAATGCAGGCCCGTGGCAACCAGATTGTCCAATGCTTTAAGAGAAGCCCTACATCTGCATTTTATGTGAAATATCCCGACTTTAAAGGTTGACTCGATTAGGAAGGTTAAGATGATAACTCTGTGATCTGCTTTAGACCCATGGAACCACTAATCTGCAACCTCTGGTCCCTGCCAAACATATAAAGCTCAATGATAGATGACATACATGTAATAGACATGTGGTATATGGGTGTGCCTGACATCACCATTTAGATCAGACTTCTCAGAGAGACATATACAATTTTATAGATTATGTGTAACTTGAAAATAAAGCAGGGCTTTATCTAGCTGTCTTCAAATTTACCTTATTTTAAGTTTCAAATAATATATAAGAAGAGCCTGAAATAGTTATATTTAGAAAAGAAGGTCTCGGGCCCTAACATTAAGGAACACCGCGCCTGATGGTGAGGCCCGAGAGGGCGGAGGCTATGCCCGCACCGATTTTATTCAGCATGTGTCAAGAATGCCACCTGTATAGGTTTGAATGGAACTGATTGAATCTCTTAAGGAACCAGACTTCAGACAACCATTTCATGTGTTAGAAATTTAATTTTTCCAGATTGCACATATAGTACCAATAAATTTCAAAACTGTAAGCAAAGTATCCCACTCTTTCATCAGATCTTACTAAGAGCTGCCTGCTCCTAAACAATTTTACTTTGTAATCTTAATAGTTCTAAACTCACCTAAGAGAGAAAAGAGAAGTGCTGGCACAGAGAATGCATTCAAAGCATATTAGTTCAACTTAACTAAAAAGAAATAAACCAAAGGGGAAACTTCCACACATCTTGTCTCTGCAGAGAGGGTGCCCTGTGGCTTGGGCTTCTTTTATCAAAAGCCTACCCACACCTTTTTGTCAGATAAACTTATTGGGTTTTCCTTGTGTAATGGGGTGAGTATTGTACAAGGTTCCAATGCCCTTTTTTTCCAACTCAAATTGTCCCTTAGAGGCTCAAAGCACTAACAAAGTGCTTCGCTGCATGAAAGTGCTGTCTACATTTGTCTGGCAAATATGTGGCCAACTGCAAAGCCTGATGGGTCTGTAATTTGTCACGGGCACAGTCGAGCTCCAGGCGGCTCCCACCAGAGAGCAAATTCAACATTACAAAGAGAAGTGTGGGCAGGAAAGCCTTCTAGCAAGATTCCCAATAAGCAGAATAAAGTCAGGAGACCAAAGACGAATAAAACATGGGCTGGGGAGACGGTATTGAAGCAGCAGCAGCCTACGAGAGAAGAGAGAGGATTTGAGCACCTTTTTGTACTGAAGGGACACTGGCTGGCACAGAGAAAAGGGACATATCTGTTATCACCTGTAATCCTACGACAACTCTAAGAATTAGGCCACATTACCCTTGTTTCTACAGCTGTGGAAACTGAGTCTCAGAAAGGCTGAGTAACTTGTCTACCATTTTACCCAGTCAGGTAGTGGCTTAACTGGACTTTGGCCAGATCTTCCTGGCTCTAAAGCTCAAGCCTGGTCACTACATAATGCCAACTTCCAATACATCACCCAGAGAGTCAACTCCATTCAGTTAGCTGAACTGTAAAACTACAGATTGAGGAGAAGGTAACTGTTCACTGTGTTAAAAACATAATAGACCAACCATTAAAAAAACTGGTAAAGCTATAGAAAACCAGCCCTGTTGCTAGTAAATGTATTTTATTTAAATATATATTAAGCACTTAATATATATACTATTTGAGATCCCCCAAATAGTAGAAAGGCAGAAATTCAAATACCTACAAGATAAACTCAAAAGTAACCTTCTTTTATTCATTATCACGTAAATGGAAAGATATTTTCATTGAAAAGAATGTTTGTTCACTCAATCACCAAACATTCATTGAGAAACCACCTGAGCTGAGCCAGGAACTGTTCTGGACTCTGAGGCTGAGAGAGTAAACAGTGCAGAGAAGTCCCGTGCCTGGGAGGAACATGTTTTGCTGTGTTTGGAGCCAGACTAAACAAAGCAGAGGGGGGAGAGGAAGGAGCTACTTATGATTTGTGACAAATGCTGTGAAGCAAATACTGGGTGCTCTGAGAGAGATGACATGGAAGCTATGCTTTGGGCTGAGAGAACAGGAAAGAATTTCCTGAGGTGATGCTGTTTAACTGGTAAGATTTTAATCATGAGAAGGAATCAACCATGTAAGGGGTTGAGAAAAGGGTGTTCCAACAAGAGGGTTATGAGTATGCAAAAATCCAGAAAGGACAATGAGCTTGACTTGTTCTGGGAAGTGGTAGCGGCCAATGTGAGTCGGTACAGCAAGACAGAGGGGTGTGTAGTGTGAGCTGAGGGGGAGGGGAGGGTGGGAGCCAGGCAGACCATCATGGGTCTTCTACACAAGTACAGGGGGTTTGGATTTTATTCCAGGCTCAGTGGAAAGTTGTAGAATGATTTGGTCTTAATCAAGGAACTGCCATGAAAAGATTGATGGTTCTGCGTTAGCTGCTGTGTGAAGAATGGATGAAGTGGGACAAGTGTGGAATCTGGAGACCAGTCTGTAGTTGGGAGATGGCACTTGCATGTTCTGCTGGATGCGTGCCCTCGGCCCTACAGCTTTGCCCTCTGCCGTTTCCTATCTTGTTGTCTACCTCAGAGGTCAGCTTAGACAGATTGTACCAAGGGGTCCCTTGCCTTCTGACTTCCAATGGGAAGCCCAGCCAAGTTTAGAGGAAGAGGGAGAGAGAAGTTGAGATGTTTATTCCCTCAGCTCCATGCCACACTCAGGGTTTATCAGAGGTTGCTTGTGTCCCTCAATCCACAGCTGCTGGAACTGTCCAAAGGCCTCTCCTCCAGCCCTCCCCCAGGACTCCAGGACCCTGCCCCTCTCAGAACTTGGGTGCTACCAGAAAAGGCACTGCACTGGAGGGCCTAGTGTTTTTTAAATGATACCTTTATTGAACTCTAGTCAAATTACCCAATTTATGTGCCTTCTGTTTTCTGCTTGATTCCTTCATGACACAGGAAGAGCGAGACAAGATTTGATCTTCTGTTACTGTGATCCTTGACTAACATTCTGTTCTGCTAATGCTCCATGGTTGTGATGTGAGGGTCACAAACCCAAGAAGATTAACAAGAATCATATACCTCTTTACCTCTTTGGGAGAACCAACCCATAAAATACCAAAATCATGGGTATGAGGGTTCAGAAAACAAAATAATTTATGATCACCAAAACAAATCAACAATATCTTATGTGTTCATAAAACACAGTTAAGGAGGATAGAGGGTAGGAAATCTAGATGAGAGAGAAGGCCTTCTTAAAAGGTAATATTTGAGCAGAGACCTAAAGGAAGAGAAGAAGCAAGTGATGATTATATTCAGGAGAAGCATGATCTAAGAGGGAAGACTACTAGAGGCCAAGGTGGGAACTGCTGGACAACTTCTGAGCAACAGTTAAAGGCCGGTGTGGTGAGAGCAGAGGAGGCAAGGACAGTTATTGGCCTGTGCTATCAGGGAGACAGGTGGGACAAGACCACTAGTCCCTTGTAGAACTTTGGCTTCTATTTTGAGACAAGAAGCTATTAGCGTTTTGAGAAGAGTATTGATAACAACTGATTTAATTTAAGAGGATCATTCTAGCTGCTGTGTTGCAATATGATGGCAAAGATAGAGTGAAAACAGTTAGGCAAAAGTCAAGGGCAGAGATGCTGGTGGCTAGACCAAGGTGGCAGCATTTATGTTTGATAAGCCTTTGAGATATCCAAGTGGAAATGAATAGGCACTGGATGTACAACCAAAGTATGGAGTTAAGAGAAGAGGTCTTGTTATCAGTGGAAGTGAGATTCTTGGGGATGAGATATTGTCGAAAGCTTTATGTCTGTGGAATTACACCCCTGAGTTTCTAAGGTACCCTTTCCCTTCATCCCACCATAGATGAAGTGTAGCTGGGGCTTCAGCAAAGCTAGGATCAGAGTTTCCACTCCCTGTTGGAGCACAGGTCCAGTCCAGCATCAGGCTAGCTTAGCTTAGCTTGCATTGCCCTGTGCAGTCCATCAGCCCACTGCATGTGGGGTCCACAGGGCCATACAGCTATGGAGGGAACAGGGGCAGGAGCAAAGTCAAAGGGACCAGAGAGCCAAGAGAGAGCCACGAACCAAGAGCAAGCTCCTTTGTCTAGGGCAGCGGTTCTCAACCTGTGGGTCGCGACCCCTTTGGCGGTCGAACAACCCTTTCACAGGGGTCGCCTAAGACCACCCTGCATATCAGATATTTACATTACGATTTGTAACAGTAGCAACATTACAGTTATGAAGTAGCAACGAAAATAATTTTATGGTTGGGTCACAATATGAGAACTGTATTTAAAGGGCCAGAAGGTTGAGAACCACTGGTCTAGGGCAGTGGTCAGCAAACTCATTAGTCAACAGAGCCAAATATCAACAGTACAACAATTGAAATTTCTTTTGAGAGCCAAATTTTTTAAACTTAAACTATATAGGTAGGTACATTGTTATTAACTTAATTAAGATACTCCTAAGGCTTAGGAAGAGCCACACTCAAGGGGCCAAAGAGCCACATGTGGCTCACGAGCCGCAGTTTGCCAACCACGGGCTAGGGGATTATGTATTTCCAAATTTTCACGGGCTTGCCTTGGCCCTGCCCCCTCTAGCCAATCCATGGTTCACCAGGTGAGGTCAAAAGGCAAGTACCTTCCCTATGTTACCCTAACTCCATTGCCCATGTGCCCATCATGCCCTTTGTCCAGTCCCTTCCCCCAGTAATCTGCAAGAGATATGGGCCAGGGTGGTTCCCCGGGGAGTGTGAAGTTGCAGCTTTCTGGTGAAGCTGTCCAAATGATAAGCCTATAATATCTGCCTTCCCTTTTGCTCCTTTCCTATTGTTAATAGCTAGCTAATTACAACGGTCCAATCTGAACTGGAGACAGAAATTTGGAAAACAACAGGGAGCGAAGAGAGGGAGAAGAGACAAGCTCCAAGGATGGAACCCTGAGGCATTGTGGGTTGACAGGTCAGAAAGAAGAGGGGGAGCCAGCAAAGGAGACCAAAAGGAGTGGCCAGCAGGGTAAGAGGAAAAACCAGTGAGATGATTCCAAATGCAACTGAAAAAAGTACTTCAGGAAGGAGGAAGTGATCAATTTGTCATGTGTTGTTAATGAAGTAAGTGAGAAGAGAACAGGGCTACTCCAATGGATTTGGCGAAGAACGGGGCTCTGGGAACTCAGATGGTGTTTTAGGAAGGAGAAGGCAAGTGAAAGTCTGATGGAGAAAACATGTATAGGCAAACTTTTGTGATGTTCTGTGCTGTTGACGGGGAGCAGAAAAACGGCTGGTAGCCAAGAGGCATCAAGCAGGTTTTTTTAAAAATTAAGTTTGGAGATATTATAGCATCTTTGAATGCTGCTGGGAGTTATCTAGTAGGGAGAGGAACCCAGATAATGGTAGGAGCAAGGAGAAGGGGTCCAGGGCCCATGAAGGCACGGCCAGTTCATCGTCTGCACCAGAGCCCATGGCCCAGGCGCAGGGCGGCTAGAGAGAGCATGTCAGAGCTTGCTCAGGAAAACAGGAAGTAAGGTGTCCACAGAGCAGGACACCAGAGCCACTGGAGGTCTGAGGAGAAAAAGGAGCATGAAGGCCTCCAGGGTGGGCGTGGGGAGTAGGGACAGGTAGGGGATTGCTGGGCAGTGTGCTGGGCTCTACACTGCCTTGGATGTGAATCCATAAATCCCATTTATATTAATGAAAACATTCATATTAACCTATGATGGGGAAAAAGTAAGAGCTCATGTGAGGAAAGTACAGAGGCCATGCGATCTGAAGCTGCGAGAAGAATCCAAAGGTCTCGTTGGTGCTGATCTCCTCCAGCTCCCACCGGAGGTGCTCACTCCCACCCCGGTAAGGAGACTGAAAAGGAAGTAAACTAAAGGGGATGTGGGATCCCCACTTTTCCCAACAGATGTAAGCAATTCCACTAACACAACATTCAAATCTATGGAAATGATCTTTTTTTTTTTTAAATATATTTTATTGATTTTTTACAGAGAGGAAGGGAGAGAGATAGAGAGTCAGAAACATCGATGAGAGAGAAACATCGAGCAGCCGCCTCCTGCACATCTCCCACTGGGGATGTGCCCGCAACCCAGGTACATGCCCTTGACCGGAATCGAACCGGGACCTTTCAGTCCGCAGTCCGATGCTCTATCCACTGAGCCAAACCGGTTTCGGCGGAAATGATCTTTATTTTAGGTTCTTTCTCAGTCAGCCCTTCGTAGTCTGAGAATGTGAAAAATAAATCTGAAAATACTTTTAAAAGCTTTGTTGTGAACTATCGCTGGTATGTAAAATGCCCAGCTCCTAGATGCAACAACAACAGAGACAGACTAATGACCCCTGACATTAGATTTAAAATGTCCTGCATGCAAACCCACTGTGCCCCACTCTTCTGTAATGCAATAACCAGGGAGAATTAGAATTGCAAAATGCCCAAAGACCTACATGGAAATTATACAACAAAGTAGTTTCACACTGATATTGAGAAAGGAATATGAAATGAATACAAGATAACACAGAGAGACAGAAGCTACTATTATGTATGTATGTATGTATGTGTGTGTGCGTGTGTGTGTGCACCTGTGTGTCTGCGAGAGACAGTAAGATAAAAAATTGTTTATTTCTTTACTTTGTTCTCCCTGAGCAAAATTTAAAATAAAGACACTGGTTTGGACACATTTCAATAATATGACATATGGTTCCTATTTTAGTTCCAAATGATTTTTACTAAATGGTTTTTGAAATATTTACTTGTAAATAAATATAAAGGAGACGTTCTGAATATCCGATTTGAAAAATAACAAACTCAAGCAATTCAATTATCAAGATGGATTTTCCAATACTCTCTGATACTATTTTCTTCCAATTGTTATTTCTTACATTATTAGGCACCACAAAAGTCCAATGCTACAGACATTTCTCTCTGAGCTACAGTTAAACAGTTGGACTGTGACAATGAAAGAGAGGTGGGCTATTTTATGCCCTAAAGTGAGAACATATTAAATAATGCAAATAAGCCCAGCAGGTGTGGCTCAGTGCTTGAGCATTGACCTATGATCCAGGAGGTCATGGTTCAGTTCCTGGTCAGAGCACATGCCCAGGTTTTGGCCTCAATCCCCAGTGAGGGGCATGCAGAAGGCAGCCTATCAATGATTCTCTCTCATCATTGATGTTTCTATCTCTCTCTCCCTCTCCTTTTCTCTCTCTGAAATAAATGAAAACTATGTATGTTTAAAATAAATAAATAATGCAAACAAGTTTTGAAATCATTTGGGCCATAGGACATATCAGCTGCACAGACGTTTGCTGACGCCTGCCCCGCATCCTCAGGCCTCATCTTTTCTGTGTCTCCCCGACCGCCATCCACAGAATGAAAGAGAAAGAAGTTTCTCTGTTTGGCCCATGAAGAGATAGAAAAGAAAAGCCAATGTCTAATAATTTCTCCTTACTTTTCCACTGGCTGCCATTAAATCTAAGATGATTTCACACAGATTCTGGGCTCACATATCTAAAGAGAACTCAGTGATTAATTCAAAAGCAGTGCAACTAAGGGTAGACACTCCATATGTGAATGGTGAGCAATTTGGGGTGGCACAGAGTGAATTATGTGGCAGTGAAACACCTGGTGGATGACACCAGCACTTGCCTGCTCAATCTCTATTCTCCCCTACTTTGTCAGTCACAGAACCCAGGTTTTTATTTTTTCTTTTGGAGTGGTCTAGATAAAACTACTGAGCATCCAGAATTCCTTGCATCTAGGAATGATCAAAATGCAATTAATTGATCATAAGCTCAATGAGGAGTTGCTAGGTGGGGCTTCCAGGAAAGTGTATTAAAAAGGGAAGACTCAAATGACATAATGTTTGTTAGTTTTGCCTTTTGCCTGTTGCCCTTACCTTTTCCTCCTGCCTGTGACGGCCAGAGGTGGAGCAGCCAGCGTGTAAGCACGTGGACAAGTCCCATGGCCACACACTGGCTGCTCCAACTCCGTATAACCGAGCAAAAGGACAGTAGCTGGGTTCTGATGGCATTCTGAACTTGTTGAAGTTTCACGGGGCAAATAAGGCCCTCTCTGGTCAAGGCACCTGTGATGGTAACATGTATGTGTCGACTTGGCTTGGTTGTGATACCCAGATATTTGGTTAAATACGTCTGGATGTTACTATGAAGGTGACATTAATTTTTTAATCAGCAGACTTTGAATAAAGCACAATACCCTCCACAATTTGGGTGGGCCTCATTCAATCAGTTGAAGGCCTTAAGAAAAAACTGACCTCCCCTGAAGAAGAAGGAATTTGGCCAGCAGACTGCCTTCAAACATGAACTGCAATATCAACACTTCCTTGCGTCTCCATCCTGCCAGCCTACCCTGCAGGTTTTAGACCTGCCAGCCTCCACAATCATGTCAGCCAATTCCTTAAAATCAATCAATATCTATCTCTCTCTCTCTCTCTCTCTCTGTGTGTGTGTGTGTGTGTGTGTGTGTGTGTATGAGATCTAAAGATATGAGAACTAACTCCCTTATCGGTTTTGTTTCTCTGGAGAACCCTGACTTACACCACTGTGACTGGATGTTGGTTCATTGCCATTGACTGCAATCATCTCTGACAAGTCTGAGATCTGCCACTTTGTGGGCTAAGTGTGTGCATGCTTTGTGAGCCTCTACCTCCAGACTTGCAGAATGAAATGTGAGTAATACCGACTCTGTCAGCTGGTTGTAAGAGCTGCATGAGGCAACATATGTAAAAGTGCTGTGTAAGTTACAAAGCCCAATGGAAATGTTAGGAAGCATTTTCCTGACAAGTTCACTGTGCCAAGTCACAACCATAATTCTTCTTCATTCATGATGGAGGGAAAACAGGCCTTTACATCTGATCATTAAACAGTTGTAACACTCTGTCAATTATATCTCAATCATCCAGGGTGGGGACATTATAGAACATTTGGAAGTCTCGAGAAGCACAAGGATGTAACACTCAACTGCCCTACACCATAGCTACTGCTATCTAGTAACATCTAGTGAGTTCTTATTATGCATCACGTGGTGTGGGAAGTAATTTAATGCATTATCTTTATCTTATGGAGGTAAGTACCATTTTGGTGCCCATTTTGTGGATGACAAAACTAAGGATTAGAGGAGTACCTAGCTTGTCTCATGACCCACAGTTAGCAAGTGGCAAAACAAGATTCAGCCCCAGGTCTAAATGATGCCAAAGTCCCAATGTTTAACTGCCAACCACATAGCAGGTGATGGGCTGTGTCTTTAACAGTGCGTTTGTTCACACAGACTTGGAATGTGACTGGGTAACCTTTAGATGAGTAAAAACAGTGAATGCACTTTGTTTAGCATACAAACAAATCCAGGTTCTGGTATTACAGAGCTGCTAGCTGTCCTGCCCAGGATAGCATTTTAATTTGAAATGAGGCAGAAGACTCTTCCAAATTAGCTACTCCTGCTAATGCTTCCGTTTACTTCAGATAAGGATATCCCTTCTCTAGAAGCTTGGGCTTATCCATTTCGAACTACCCACTCATCCACGATTTCCCTTTATTTTCCTTATAGCCCCCAATCAAAAAGGGCTGGTATTATTAACTCCACTTCCCAGGTGAAAGATCTGACCCCTGGAGAGGTTAAGTAAGTCATCCAAGGTCACACAGCAAATTAGTGGTACAAGCAGGACTGGAAGGCTGTCTGCCAGCATCCAGCCCAGCGCACTTTCAATTACGCTGCTCCCTCTACCTGTCACTTCCACCATCCTGAGGGGCTGGGGTTGATGGGGCATGCTGGCTGTCCCTCGGGGTAAACTGTCCTGCCAGGTAGGAAAATGCACACACACACACACACACACACACACACACACACACTACATACACTATAATTGCATCTGACAAAATGGTTTTATAACAGTGCAGTCAAGGATGCAGAAACTCCCAGACTGCTTTTCAGAAACAGAGCCCAGGGGGCCAATTTCATCCTGAAATAAGATTTCCTCTGTTGTGGGTCTGGGGGGTTGGGTAAGTGATGGGCTGTGTTAACAGTGGGACAGTGGACTGCAGGGCAAACGCTCTTTTAACTCTCATTGCCATTAAGTAGTGACGATGCAAACCATGGGAAAGAGGGACCCCCAAGACAGCACATGGAGAAAAGTTTCACATGGACCCCTCTGTGACTTTCCCTCCCTAAACTGCAGCGGATTACACATGGTTCTTTTGGAATAACAAATGCGTATTTTTTCTCATTCTATCCAATATTTGTAAAAGGTCAAGAGCAGGGGAGTACTGATTATGAAAAAGAATAGCCCTGGTGCATGTGACTCAAGGTTTGGTCCATGCACCAAAGGGTCACGGGTTCAATCCCTGCCAAGGGCAAGTACTTTAGTTGCAAGTTCCATCCCCAGCCCTGGTCTGGGTGCATGTGGAAGGCAACTAATTGGTGTGTCTTTCTCACTCTCTCTCTCTCTCTTTCTCTGTCTCTGCCCCTCCCTCCCTTCCACTCTCTAAAAATCAATGTTAAAAATATCCTCCAGTGAGGATTAACAAAAATAATAATAATATAAATCAATCAATCCATCCATCCATCCCAGCATGAGATTCTGGTCCTACTTAGTCTTGCCTGATACCAAAGAAAGTACAAGTGGAGACAACATACTACACTGTCAATTCAGCTTCCAGGCCAGGATTTCGGGATGGAACATTTGCTTTTCCTAAGCAAGGCAGGCAGCCAGGGATCTGCCTCCATGGGATTGGCCACCGCAAAGCAGAAGGTAACTTGCTTTAACTCTACTGGTTAGATGAATGAAGATCAGAAAGCAAAAAGAGGAACTGCAAGATTTAAAGCTCAAAAGATTTAAAGACAAAAGACTGGCACTGGGGACGGAGTTCCTAGGAAGAAACAAACAGGTTTCTAAACTTGCATCAAAGCCAGAGCCTCCTCCCGCCTCCCACAGGGAGGAGCAGCACTCAGAGCTGAGCTGCCTGGAATGACCTAACCTTGAAAGTCATCAGGAAACCTCACAGGTCTTTTTTTCCTGCTACATTAGCAAAAAAAGTTTAGACACCAGGAGACTAGTCACCTTCTCAAAAGGAATTTGCCACACACTCACTCATGCTCAAAATGTGGACCAAGTTGCCTTTTAAACAAAGAATAACATCAGTGTGTAAAACTTAAAGGCAAACTTCATCAAAAATGACTTGAAGCCCACCAGTTTTGCCTGGGGAGGGGGAGTGAGGATATTAGGAGAAGTTGAGGGAAAAGCCAGGGGGAAGCAAAGTCAATCATGCATGCTTTCACTGCTAATCCTGAGATTCATTGATCCAGACAATGTAGCACATCACAGAGAGGGACACACAATCCAGGACCCAGAAAAGTCTTCACACTTTCACTTAGACACATGAGAAAATGTAAAAAGGAGGAGCCCAATCTTAATGCATAGAAGGCACCATAAACCTATTCTCTTCTCAGTGCTGCCTTTCTCAGGATTCTTTATGTGGTCTGTAGCTGGCTCATGGAACACACTCCCTCCTGGCCCAACCCTGCTTACTCTCTCTGTCTTTCAACTCTTTATTATGTTGTTCAGCACAACCTCTCTTTTTTTTTTCTTCCACTATCTTTAGTTTTAAGAAGACCTGGGAGTTTGCCAAGAGACCACAATTTCTTCCTGTATAGAAGCTAGGGAAATAGTGAAAATCATGAACATCCACACATTAATAATTTCACCTGCAACACATTATTTCATTTTGTCTCTTAGAATTTCATTATCTCAAAATCTAGCAATTTAACAGGGCAGCCTTTTTAAATGGTATACAAGGCACTGGAGATCTCAAGAGCTGCAAATGATTCAAGTGTGAGGCCAGATCATCAAAGATAACAACAGGAACTAGGGTTGAAAAGAGACCTTTCCCTCCCATCATTCTCACCAAGACAATAACTGTTACCATATGCCAGGCACTGGGCTAGGCAGTAGGTACACAGAGATGTGAGTCAAAACCCTTATCCTCAAAGAGCTTCGTCTAATGCACTGTGTCTCAAACTGCATTCCATAGAACAGCGGTCGCCAACCGGTGGTCCGTGAGGTCCGAAAGGTTGGTGACCGCTGCCTTAGAACACAAATGTCCTTGTATAACAGGCTCTATAGCCAAATACTTTAGGAAATGTGGCATACTGAATATCTTTCAAGATAGTTTCATACCCACCCTAATCACAAGGTAACTTTGTTTCTTTACTGGACCATTTCCCAAATTTAATTCATCACTGACCCATTGCCTTGCAAAATACACATATTGAGATGAGCTTACAAATGCTAACATGGAGAGATTCTACCCTTAAACAAATAGATAAATAATTACACTTTTTAAGATAAAATAAGAACAATGAAAATGTTTTCATATAAAGTATACTGTATTTCAACCAGAAAGGTAAGTGAATCTAAATGTCTCCCAAACTGAGAGCGTGTCTGTCTGCTCACTGCAATGGGAAAGTGAGCAATGAGAAAAATTAGTCTAGTGTGGGTACCTACTTTGCTTGCGTTGGGGGGTGGGAGAGGTGTCCAGCTTGTAGGGTAATAGGAGAAACTGCAGTAAAATCAAATACTTGGTATCCATAGGAGTTACAGTCAGGAAAATTGTCTGGCATCTAGTGAGGGGAGATTGACAGGTCTTTCACCAGCCGGCACCACAGCCTGGTTCTGCAGCCTGATGCAGCATCAATGGCTGCTTTCTCACGGGCCAGGGCTACAGTATGGCTCTGGGCACTGTTCCTGGAAGCTTAGTCTCAAGCCTGTCTCAGTGACACTCTGCATGCTTCCAAGTACCAGATTATCTCTGGGATTCCCGATAATTCTTTGAAATGTCTCATATCCTTCAATAAACTCTTCTATGTAACGTAGCCAGAGCAGATTCTGGTGTTTATAACTAACACCCCTGACCATATGTCTCGTCTCCCACTTCCAGTATCCAGGAAAATAATTGTTTTAGCCATTTGCAACCCAACTGGCAGACGACTCTAATCTGGCAACATTTCTGTGGAATCTCTACTGCCCTTCTTTATCTCTAAGCAACAAGTACTCAAAGCGACCAACTCCTAGTTCTAGAATCCCACCTGCATCCCCTTTTCAACTCAATCTTCTTTCTTAGCCTAAGGCTGGCCTATTTATTGTATGAGATGTGCTTTGCTGTCAGTCAACATGGCAACATCTTTAGTGAATTCAAAAGCCTAGCTCTTCATTTACCTTTCAAGTTGTAACATGTTCCTGGACACACGGGTCTCTATCTATCCCATTTGTCAACAATGATTTTCTCTACTTTTTTGTTGTTGTTACACTTTGCATAGCTCTTCCAAAGTGTTATGAAATCTGTCAGAGTAATTTCAAACAGGGGTAGAGTGGTCTATGTGTTAAAGTAGGCGGATGCCAGGAATTGTGTCATTTCCCATCATGGTGACTGACTGCGTAGCTCAGGCAAATCGTAGGGGCATCCATGGCACCACCACCCCCAAGAGGAGGGTCCCAGGAACTTCTTAGAATTCTAGTTTCAGAGCACAGGGTCAAGCTAAGCCACTAAAAAAGGTTATTTAAAAATTGCTGGAGGAAAGACTTAAATAGTCATGGGAGGAAAAAAAGCACATTTCTTGATGCAGTAATTAAAGATTTAGATCCAGTGTGTGAATTCCCATAGAATCCTACTTAGCCCC